AAGAAAAACATCCAGTTCTACCAAATAGAAAAAATGCCAAACTAAAACCACAGAACCTAAAACTTGTCAAAACAATGCCCGTAATGTCGTAGTAACGGGCGTACCAGCACCATCACGACCAACGTGAGAGATGCAGTGACGTCAACGCGTGTTTCGAATTTAGAGCGTTTTGATAATTTATTTAAATATGAACAAGGGCTCGGAAAATTATGAAATTTTGCACAACTGCTAAACTCAATACGCTCTTTTAGAATATGTAATAAAAAAAATATGCTGTACGAGCCTATTCTTTTAAATAATTGCTTGATCCCAAAAAATTTGTTGCATTGTCTGAATAAATAACAAACGGATTGCCACGCCTAGCAATAAATCTCCTGAGAGTCAATAAAAATAATTCCGTTGATAGTCCTGACACTAACTCAATGTGTACACATTTGGTCACCATACAAACAAATATAGCAATATATGCCTTGATTTTAGGAGCACGCCTCAAATTAGATGCTTTTATCCAAAATGGACCACCAAAATCCACACCGGTTTTTAGAAAAACACGAGCAATGGAAACCCTATCCTTGGAAAGATTTCCCATAATTTGTTCTGCTGCCTTGGCTGAAAAACGGAAACAACCTATGCAATTGTGTATAATGCGTTTTATAGCTCTCAAACCATCTATCGGCCAGAATCGCAACCTAAAATTACTTAATACTGTTTGAGGGCCAGCATGATACAGCCTGAAGTGTTCATGTCTTAATAAACAGTTAGTCACGTGGCATTTTGGAGGTAACAGAATAGGGTGTTTTTGATCGAAGGAGATAGGTGCATTTGACAACCTCCCACTCACTCGCATTATACCTTTGTCATCAACAAAGGGATTTAAACAACTTATTTGTTTGTTTTTCACAACCTTGCCTTTACATAAACTATCTAGTTCTGTGAAAAAATATTTTCTTAGAATGATTTTAATAATAAAAAACAAGGAATTTTGTAATTCATAGACTTTCGAAGGACCATAAATTCTTTCATTTTCTGAACATTTAACATTATGAAGAAACCTCAAACAAACTGCTATAACTCTTTGCAATTTGACAAAATCTGAGAATTTATTAAATACTTCAAGAAAAATATTTTCGTTCTGATGTACCACTGTACTTAGGACAACTTTTTTTTCTTCTGGTAAATTCCTTAATTCAGGAGTAAAATTATATGAGTCTAAATCTAGGTTAGGATTTTGCAAATATTCTGGCCCATTCCACCACTGAATGGATTTAATAAGTTCACTTGACTAAGCCTCTTGACACTTAATCAGCTGGATTATGTTTTGAAGGTACATACCTCCATATGCAGTCAAAACTGTATTCTTGAATCAAAGATACTCTGTTAGAGACAAAAATATTCCATTTGCTCGGATGTGACTTTAACCATGCTAATGATACCTGCGAATCAGTCCATAAATTTACACTTTCAATTTCAAACCGATTTTTGAAAATCTCACGGATTCTTTGAGTAACCTGTACTAGAAGTACACATCCGCAAAGCTCCAATCTTGGAAGGCTAATTGTGCGAAGAGGTGCGACGCGAGACTTGGCACATATGAGATTAGTGAAAGCTGAATCATTTCCATGGATTACTCTTAAATACACGCAGCAACCATATGCCTTTAAACTAGCATCTGAAAAACCATGAATTTCCATCTTTTTGTTTTGATCATTGCCCACTAAATCTCTGGAGATTTTCAGATTTGATAACTCAGAAATATTTCTTGCAAAATTAGACCACTCCTCCTTTAATTCAATCGTCAATGGATCATCCCAACTCAGCTTAGCCACCCAGAGTTTCTGCATAAAGATTTTGGCTATTATTACAACTGGAGCGACAAATCCGAGAGGATCATAGATTTGCGCTATAGCAGACAATACATTTCTTTTTGTGATTGAACTGAACTGAATGTTTTTAGGAAGCGAAATTGAAAAACAATCTAACTTGGGATCCCAAAAAATACCCAAGACTTTATCAGAGTTTCCTTCTGAAATAAAAGAGTAGCTTTGTTGATCTACATCAGAACTGAAATTTTTCATGAATTCAATTGAGTTCGAACACCATTTATGAAGATTAAATTTTGCTAGCTTCAACAATTGGATTACTTGATCTCAAAGAGTTTGCACCTCCCAAAATATCATCCACATAGGTTTGGGTTCGCAAGACATTAGCAGCAAGAGGAAATTTGCTCTCATAAAGCTCAGCTAGTTCCAAAAGACACCGTGTAGCTACATATGGAGCAAAATTTGTTCCATAGCTCACTGTGAGTAACTCAATGCACTGCAACTCATCATTAGGACATTTCCTCCACAGAATGTTTTGAATTAATCCTAATTTGCCGATACATTTTTTGAATGTCGGCAACAATGACAAAGGGAAAGGTTCTGAATCTACAAATAATATCAAAAAGTTCTGGCTGAACTACCAGTCCTTTGAAACAAATGTCATTTACAGAAAAACCTGATGTGGTTTTCATAGAGGCATCAAAAACTACCCTAAGACGAGTAGTTACTTTATCATTGCGAATAATGCAATGATGAGGAATGAAATATTTGTGATCATTGTTCTGGTTTTTAAGACTTAATGGAATATACCTTGCGTGGTTAAGATTCACATATTCATCAATAAAGTCACCATATTGTTTGAATAGCTCAGAGTTCTGATGAAGCCTTTTTTCTAAAGCAAGAAAACGTTTTTTGGCCAATGAAAATGATTCACCCAACTTGGTCGTTTCTGATAAAGATTTTAATGGGAAATTGACTTGAAATCTTCCATTTTCAAGTATTCTTGTAGTGTTCCTGAATATTTCTTCTGAAGCTTCTTCGTCTGTTGATAAAATCTGTTTTTGTGGGACTTCCTCCAAAACCCAAAATTTTTGGAGTAAATCTTCAACTTGATTTGAATTAATAAATAAAGTTGAATATTGAAGTGGATCACAAAACATAAAATTTGACATTAAGGGAGATGAGAGACAACCTCCTATCACCCATCCCAATTGAGTATTTTGCAATACGGGCAGATTAGTTCCAAGTTTAGTGATTCCAGGAGTTATCAAACTAAAATATATGTCTGAGTCAAGAAGTAAATCAACAGCTTGAGGAACAAAATATTTGGGATCAGCCAAAATAACTGTATCAGGTATCTCTAGTTTTTCCTTATTGATAGGAAACTGTGGCATATTTGAAGAAATGAAATCAGTAACTGAACATGTTACTTTAAATTGTTTGCTGTGATCGACACTTGAACTTAAATGAATATCAATAGAATCCTCACACATAATTTTTCCTGAAATGCCACTAATTGAAACATTTTGTTTGTAAGTTGGGTAACCCAATTTTCTTGATAACCTGTGAGTGATGAGTGAAACTTGTGAGCCATTATCCAGAACTGCTCGGACAGGAATCATATAGTACCATTATTAGTTAAAACATCCACTGAGGCAGTAGCTAGCAAAACATGCGATTTTTGACTTACAAATAAACTGGACTTTGAAACTGCGACTGAACTATCAGTTTGTGAGTTTACAGGGATCTCTGCTAATAGATAATTTTGATTATTTTTTTGACTGTTTGCTACATTGCTAACAGTAGGCTTAGGTTGATTTGTCTGTGAAACTTGCTGACTCTCTTGGTTCCGGTTGGCCCCTGAAGAGTTATCACTGATTTGGTTATGCATCAGGGTATTATGAGCCTCCCCGCACAAAGGGCAGTTTTTCCAGGTGCATTGCTTGACATTATGTGCTCCAAAACATTTAAAACACAAACGATTAGAAAAAACAAATTGTTTTCTTTGATTAACAGCCAAATTTTTAAATTTGTAACATTTGGGTAAATAATGGTTGGACACTTTACAATATAAACAATTATGACGAGACCCTGATGGACGTGACTGGGTGAAAGACTGCGATTCTTTTTCTGCAAAATGAGAATGCTTTCGAGAAGAATCAGGGGAAGACAAATTTTCTGCAACATGGCAATGCTTTTCCACAAATTCTAAGAAATTATTTAACGTAGGCATGCATGATGGACCTCTCTCTAACTCATAACTACGTCTGGTATATATGTCTAGTTTTTGTGACAGGGTGTAAACTAAAATTAAATCCCACTGGTCAATAGGAACTTTCAAATTTTTTAAACTTTCTGTATGTTGCTTTATTGATACCACAAATTCATGTGAATTTGTGGAGCTGCTTTTATTAATAGATGGAAGTTCCATTAGACCCTTAATATGTGAATAAATATTAGCAAGTTTATTTTCATACCGTTCTTTTAAAATATTCAAAGCTACCTGCAAATTACTAGCTTCTAAAGATAAATTTTCAATAAGTTTCAAAGGTTCATCCTTCAAATTTGACTTTAAATAGATCAATTTTTGAACCTCTGCATTGGCAACCCTTTTACTTATAACTTCAGACCAAGAGAAGCACTACGACTACGATAAAACAATGCATTTTCGTTACTTATAGGTAACTGAAATTGAATAACTTGTTGCATGTGAAAAACAGCAGCAGCTATTAAATCTGGGTTGTTTTTAGACATTTCCTTAGCATCCTCCTTCTTTTTGCGCAGTGTTTTTCTCGGCGACATGTGTAGTGCATGCATCTTTGAAGCTCTAATTTTTTATTTGCATCAGCTTCCCTGTACGATGAACAAAGACTGCATTGGTCCTTCCTGGAATGGTAGAAAGACAGGGGACAGATTCAGTGATTCAAATACTCTACGGTAAGTATGGTAGTTGCATTTTGGCTGCTCCAGGCTCTCTTCTTGGTACAAGTTAAACATTTTCTTCACGTTAAGTCGGGGTGTAAATATTCTTTTGAAGTCGATTTTCTACAAAAGTGCGACTCCATTTTTGGGAACTTTTGTATGTGCTGAGGATCTCATAACTTCGTCTTTTTGTCGAATTTCTATAACGCAATGCAACACGTTTATCGAACAAAACTCTGCCTTCCACCGTTCTCTTACTTATTGCCGTCCGAACTGCTTTTTCGGAAACTGCCAGTGTGTTCTGAAACGTAATTTCACAAACTGGTAAAGATCCTCTGCCTTTTGGTAAGCAATAAGCCAAAGTCCTTGTTCTTCTGGACTCTGTTGCAGCAGTTTTTCTCCTGTAAACATCATTCTCATTGATATGGCGTACAATGAGCTCCCTCTGTAATTGGAGACTTGGTATTGTAGAAAGCATGAAATATTTTCTGGCGCTCTTGTTCTTCCTTAGTAAACAACTTGCAGCCCTCATTTTTACATTTTTGAGAATCACATCGCGGCTTCATGATTCTTTGCGGAACTTGCTTTTTCAAAAAGGGACTCACGTATGCTGTTCCTTCTGTTCTTAGGGTGCGTGCCATCTTTTTCATGTTGTTTTTATTTATAACTACTGATAACTTACCTATACAGATACCACTGCAATAAAAGGCACACTCAAACTTCACTTTCAACAGAAAAATGTAGAAAACATTGCAGGGTAAATACCACAGGAAGCAACTGCAATGATTATGTATGAATTTATGCTACATGGTTGCCGGTGCGAAGTTATAGCTCATCGGGGGCACATCAGCCAAACATTTTTCGTTGGTAATCTGACAAAAAGGCGTAAATCCGTTTTCGGGATATACGCCTCTTAGTAAGATCCTGCAGTTACGTTTGATGTCGCTTCCGCCCATACCAACCACGTTCTAATTGGGAAAATACTACTTATACAGATACGCCAGTTGGTCAGATCATAAATGTACTCCATGGCAATATTTTCATGGAATAATCTGTATTTTAGAAATATTGTCGCTTACGCCCATTTGTCAGAAAAGCGACGATATGCCCCGTGAAAATTGTCCGACAAGATTACCACGTTATTGTAAAATATTTTTATGGCAGATTCTGTTCAAATCAGCCATGTGGTAATACATTTTTTTTTCCCATAAATTTGACATATTCAACGTGTCCGACGCGTCGAATGCGGATTATCTAAAACTAAGGCTTTGAATATATCAAAAAAACTTGCCCAATTTTGATGAGCACCTGTGAATTTATCTATAGTAATTTCAGGTAACTTTGAGCTCACACTACATTGCTGTACAGAGTTTTTATTAACATTAACATTACCAGAAGCCTCGTCTAACAAAACCTTTAAAGTGGTCTTTAACAGGTAAAATTTATCCTCAGTTTCCTCACGATCACCAATTTTTTCTACATCAGTTTCATTAAGTTCAATAATATCTTGAGCAGAATTGAACTTACTATAATTTTCTTCGATTGAATCTAACCTACTCTGATAGTCATATTTATGCAATAGATTGTGTTTATTTAATGTTAAAAATTTGTCAATTCTAGTAAAAGCGGACTTAGCACTTTTCCTAGCTTTCAAGGCTTGCTGTAGTTCCACAGCCACTGTAAAGTTGTATCCTAGTTCTTGGACTTTTTTCCACTGTACATTGTTTCCTGAAGGTATTGGAATTGTACTGAAATCTGGAATCCGACTCGTTGAGACCATGTAGAAAGATGAGGTGGTTTTCAGCTTTGACCTCACCAATCTTGCTTCGATAACTGAAAAGGGAGCTTGGACCAGGAATAATACACAGTGCACTTTTCTAAAATGACTATTGTATTAAATTGAACCAGCCCAACATAGGACCTAAAAAAATACACTTGTTCTTCTATTGATAAAAATGATAATAATAATATGTTTCTTGTTGTTGAAACATCTGCTCTGGAAAATCAAATAAAAATTCAACCCTTAACAACCACACCGCACACCATGTTCTGGGTTGTTTTTTTTTGTCAAAACAAAAATATGACAAACACTCACCTGACATTCTGACATTTCTAAATTTTTGTCTAGAGCTAGGCAATGAGCTAGGCCAATTTATTCTAAATTTCAAACAGTTTGATGAATTTTGAAATTTTCAGTTTTTCGAATTTTTGACTTCACCAATCGAAAGAAGAGGTTAAAATTAGTAGAAAAGCATTTTCGCAACTTCCCTTTTTGGGTTTTGAAGCCTTGTTAAAAAATAAAAACAATTTTGCAATTTTTGGGCTCAAAAAATTTCAATAATCTGATATTCTTTCACAAAATTGCTGATTATTCGGTTATTATTATAACAAATATGATGTAATAGTTATTTACCTAACAAATGCGGAAAGTGATACTTTACCGCACGCAGTTGACCGAACGACGCGAAGCGGAGTTCGGTCAAGCCGTTAAGGGCGGTAAAGGCACTTTCCGCATGTGTTAGGTACAAAATTTTACCTATCAGCATCTAAATCTCCAAAAAAAGACATTAATAAAATTAATTAATGAATCAGATTAATTAATGAAATTAGATAAGATTTAGAAATGACCAAAAATCCATTTTCTGAAAAAGAGGGGATTTTTGATTATAAATATTAAATTCTACTTTACCGCACACTATGCGGTAAATTGCACTTTACCGCACACTTTGTATTCTACTTTACCGCATACTATGCTGTAAAGTTAACTTTACCGCACACTAAGCGGTAAAGTGCACTTTACCACATAGTGTGCGGTAAAGTGATACTTTCCATTTGCAAATACGTGCGGTAAAGTGCACTTTACCGCACGCTCGTAGGTAAAATTATATATTCTGAATCAGAATTAAATAATATTCACGATAAAATAAGATTCAATTCTATATCTTAAATACTTCTCAAGATATTGAGGCTCAAAGTTAAAACTTTGTCTCTAATTTTGCAAAAGCTTCAAAGCCGATTATCTTGAAAACGAAGCCCTTGGGCTTGGAGTCTTAAATAACCTTTTTTGTATCCCTTATCAAGAGCTACAATTAGGCAAAAGATTCATGCCAATAACTTCACTGGTTTCCAAAATATGGCCCTTTGAAATATTTGGAAATCAAATTTCCATGCATACCCCTTTGGAAAAGTTTGAATTTTTAAATTTTCAGTTTTTCGAATTTTTGACTTCACCAATCGAAAGAAGAGGTTAAAATTAGTAGAAAAGCATTTTCGCAACTTTCCTTTTTGGGTTTTGAAGCCCTGTTAAAAAATAAAAACAATTTTGCAATTTTTGGGCTCAAAAAATTTCAATAATCTGATATTCTTTTACAAAATTGCTGATTATTCGGTTATTATTATAACACATATGATGTAAAATTATATATTCTGAATCAAAATTAAATAATATTCACGATAAAATAAGATTCAATTCTATATCTTAAATACTTCTCAAGATATTGAGGCTCAAAGTTAAAACTTTGTCTCAAATTTTGCAAAAGCTTCAAAGCCGATTATCTTCTAAACGAAGCCCTTGAGCTCGAAGTCTTGAATAACCTTTTTTGAAGCTCTTATTGAGAGCTACAATTGCCAGAGTCCCAGCTAGAACCCGAAAAATGAAAATAAAGATAAAATGTCAAAAAAGTTGACAGAAACTTTTTCTGATAATATTTCTTGGAATCTGATAATTTTGTTCTCAAATCCTGATAATTTTAAATTTGACATCTGACAACACTGGTCTCAATAAGCTTCTAGTTTGCTTTTGGGCTGTTTTCGATCGGCCACCCTGTATAAATCCTACAAAATTAAATGTTGAAATCTAGGTACCAAAATTCAAGATTTAAAAGGGCAGCAATTGAAATTGTGTCTAATAAAAAGGAAGAAATTTAAAAAAAATAATAGCAATCACAAGGTAGGAGTAAATGAATTATTATAAAAACCCAAAAATAAAAATTCTAGATGTTGAAAATTGATTGAAAACAAATATTTTGGGGAAAAAAATAAATATAAAACGGATTTGAAAATTAATTTAATTGTTATAGAAAATATATTTTGTGATTTTGGAACTGGATCCATTGAATTTCCAGAAAATTATAGAAAAATAATGCGATTTTATTGAATTTGCAGTTTATGTTCTGTTTATGAACACATAAAATTTTACGTTGCTATAAATTTTTCTGCTTTCAATCATTCTGTAATAAAATGCAGTAAATCTAAAATTTGCTTGAAATGTGGAAATAATGACTATAATTCAAATGTATCTGGAGAAAATATGATTTGTCCAAATTGCGTTGAATCTAATAAAAAGTTTGACACTACATTATTTATAAATCATTAACTATGTTATCCAAAATTCCAAACATTATCTAATAAGTAAATCAAATTGGAAATTTGAAGAATAATATAAGTTATAATAATTATAACATGAAAGAAGAGCAATTATTAAAAAAGAAAGTTGAAAATAGGTCATAGGAATAATTGTTATGCAATGATTGCCACATAATTTACCATATAAATAAGGGATATTATAATTTCAAAGATGATGAGGTATTTGAGGTAAAACATTTTTTATTTGAAAAAAATAACTTTAATATTGTGGCTTACTGGAAGTCACATAACTAGAAGATATAAAAAAATAGAGAAATACACATTGAAAACTACAATAATTGTCTATATAATTTTCTATGGTGCAAAAATTGAGAACAAAGCTACGTTATAACTACACGCTCTATCAATTGATGTCAACACACCAAGGAAAATAAATAAATAATGTGGAGAAATCTTGAGCTTAAAATCTTGTCAAAGTTTATTTTGCGGCATTTCTACGAATTAGCCAAATTTTCTTTGCCTTGTGTTGAATGTCATTCATCCATTATCATCTATCAAACATTTACTAGATGACTTTCACGAATTTATTTCAAGATTTCGACAGTTGCTTTGTGAAATGATGTACAGTTGCGGCCATTGGAATTGACACAAATGTACCTAACTCTAACATAACTTAAGTGAATATGATACAAAAATTACTTTTTTATATTGATGGAAATAAGGAGAGATATGGATGTTTTGCTATGGTAAAAATGCGCAGAGACCAACTACTACTTACTAGCACGATAAATTTTGCAAAGAAGTAAACTACTGAATAATCCTTAACCTCAATTTTCGACAAGTTACTTCTCATTTCTGTCGCTTCTATTCATCAAACTCCAAGACCAGACAAATAAACTTCAAATTTAAAACCTTGCAGCAACGCTGAAAAGAAGCTGAAAGAAAAATCAATTTTCTCATTTCAGCACGCACATGTCGTGCATATTATATGTATGAAGTTTTTCACTTTTCATTTTTCTGCGCTATCGCAGTTGCCTTTTACATAATGAGATGGTAGGAAAATGGAATTGAATATTTTTTTGCCAAGCTTCAGTTATTATCTAATATTTTTCAAACAGTCCAACACTAGGTATACCTACAGTACAATTATTACTATTCTACATTAAA